AGTTGGAGACAGCACACTCAAGAAAAGATAAAACTTCCATAAAGAAACTCAATAAAGATGCTGAAGAATTAAACCACACAATAAACAAACTTGATCTCATAGATATTTATAGGGTAATACACCCCGCAAAAGTACAGTATACCTTCTTCTCCAATGTGTATGGAATGTTCTCCGGAATAGGTGACACATTAGGTTACAAGGCAAGCATCAATAAATAAAAAAAAAAAACCCACATAGAAATAATACAAAGCATCTTCTCAGACCACAGTGCTACAATATTAGAAATTAATAACAAGAGGATATAGGGGAGGGAACCCCATACATTTGAAAGCTGAACAACACCTTGCTTGAACATGAGTGGGTGCTGGAAGAAAGAAAAAAATGAAATGAAAAAGTTTCCTGAAACAAATGACAATGAAAACACTACTTACAGACACCTCGGGGAAACAGCCAAAACAGTAATCAGAGGTCTATTTATAGCAATAAGCAAACATATCAAGAGACAGGAAAAATGACCATTAATTCTCTAATCCAACATCTCCAACAAATTGAAAAAGAACAGCAAGAAATCCCAACACTGGCAAAAACCCCTGAAGTTATAAAAATTAAAGTTGAAAGAAATGAAATAGAAAATGGAAAAACAATTAAAACCATCAAAAACCCAGGAGTTGGTTCTTCATAAAGGTCAAGAAAATTGACAAACCACTAGCAAAAGTAACAAAAGAAAAGAAGCAGAAGATACAAATAATCCAAATAGGAGATGAAATGGGCAATGTCACAATGGAAACAACTGAAATAAAAAGGTTAACAATGGAATATTATGAAAAGCCATATTCAAATATGAAAACCTGGTGGAAATAGACAAATACTTAGAAATTAACAAACTACCTAAACTGACACAAATGGAAATGGAATACCTGAACAGACCCATTACAAAAGAAGAAATTGAAAAGGTACTAAAACAACTTCTAGCCAAAATAAAATAAAAAAAAAAAAAATCCTTGGACCAGATGGTTTTACAAGTGAATTTTATCAAACATTCAGAGAAGAAATATCACCAATTCTACTATTTCAGAAGAAAAAACGGAAGGAATTCTCCCAGACTCATTCTATGAAGCAAACATATCTTTGATACCAAGGCCAGGTAAAGACACCACCAAAATAGAAAACTATAAGCCAATATTTCTCATGAACATAGATGCAAAAATCCTGAATAAAATCCTGGTCAATTGATTCCAACAGTACATAAAAAAAATAATTCACCATGACCAAGTGTGATTCATAACAGGTGTGCAAGGGTGGTTCAGCATAAGAAAAACAATCAGTGTAATTCATTACCTTAACAAAGCAAAGAACAAGAACCACATGATCCTATCAAGTGATGCAGAAAACGCCTTTGACAAAATCCAACACCCTTTCCTGGTTAAAGCACTCAACAAGATAGGAATAGAAGGGAATTTCCTCAACACAGTAAAAAGTATATATGCAAACCCAAGAGCCTACACTTTCTCAAAGAGAGAGATTAAAGGCATTGCTGTTGAAAACAGGAACTAGGCAAGGATGTCCACTATCACCTTTCCTATTCAATATTGTATTGGAAGTCTTAGCAATTTCAATAAGACAAGGGGAAAAAAATAAGAGGTATCCAAATTGGCAAAGGGAAGGTAAAATTTTCTCTCTATGCAGATGATATGATAATATACTTAGAAAACCGTAAAGACTCAGCAAGAAAGCTACTGGACATAGTTGACCAATTCAGCAAAGTGGCAGGATACAAGATCAACATATAAAAATCAATTGAATTTCTCTACAGTCAGAATACAGAACTGGAGTAAGAAAACTATACCTGTCACAATAGCTAATCACAAGATTAAATACTTGGGAGTAAATCTAAATAGAAACACAAAGGATCTATTCAAAGAAAATTACAAAACATTGCTACAAGAAACAAAAAGACACCTGGAGAAATGGAAGAATATACCTTATTCATTGATAGGAAGAGTCATTATTTTGAGAATGACAATCCTGTCAAAGGCAATTTACACGTTCAATGCAATCCCAGTGCAAATACCAATTCCCATCTTCAGCAAGATGGAAAAGGTAATTCCAACTTCATTTGGAATGGAAAGAGACCCCAAATAAGCAAAGCACTCCTTAAAAAGAGAAACAAGGTAGGAGGCATCTCACTCCCTGATCTCAAATTCTACTACATAGCCATTTTGGTCAAGATGGTGTGTGGTACTGGTACAGTGACAGACACACAGATCAATGAAATAGAATTGAGAGCCCAGAAATTAGTTCATCCACCTATGGTTAACTGATTTTTAACAAGGAGATGAAATCAGTTAAGTGGGGAAATGAAAGCTTCTTTAACATATGATGTTGGCAAAATTAGAAAACGATCTGCAGAAAACTCAAGCAAGACCCACACCTCACACCATACACAAAAAACCAACTCAAAGTGGATAAAGGACTTAGGACTAAAACTTAGGACTATACACTTCATCAGCAAAAATGTTGGAAGAATTCTAGAAGCCCTAATCCCCAACATGAGCAGTCTTCCAAGCATCCTGAAAAACCTACAACCAGGAGAGAATAGAATACATAAATGGGATCTTCTAAGAAGCAAATTCCTATGCACTTCAAAAAACTTCTCCATATGAATCAGGGTGAAGTCTCTCTCAGGGAGGAGTGATAGGGAATGGCAAAGGACACACTGACAAAGGAGATTAATCAGAACTGGCTTTGACAAGCACTGTGGCAATTGGACAATTAAAACAGACATTCGGAGGGCGGGGGAAGAAGAACAAACTGGGGAGGAGGGTAGAGAGAATGGTGCAGCAATGAAGGAATGAAAACCCAAAATCCCTGTAAATGTTCATTGAAACTAATAAAATTTAATAAATAAAATAAATAAATAAATAAAAACAAAACTTCTCCAATAGGATAAAAAGTAAGGCCACAGACTGGGGGAAAAATATTTGGCAATGACATGTCTGATAAGGGACTTATATCTAGAATTTATAGAATACTCCAACACCTCAACAAGATAAAGATAACTCAGTCACAAAATGGGCACAGGATATGAACAGACACTTTACCAAAGAAGACATTCAGAAGGCTAACAAGCACATGAAGAAATGTTCAAAATCTCTACTTCTAAGAGAGATGTAAATAAAAACAACTATATCATCTCACACCTGTAAGGATAGCAAAGTTCAACAGAGTAGCAAACAAAAATGCTGGTGAGGTTGTGGAGAAATTGGAAATCTTATTCACTGTTGGTGGGAGTGTAGAATGGTGCAGCCACTATGGAAGGCAGTATGGTGCTTTCTCAAAAAGATGGAAATAGAAATACCATTTGATACAGCAATTGCACTACTGGGAATATACGCTAAAGAACCCAGAACTGTCACCCAAGCAGATATATGCACACCCATGTTTATTGCTGTGTTGCTCACAATAGCAAAGAGTTGGGAACAACCCAAGTGCCCATCAACAAATGACTGGATTGAGAACCTGTGGTATATTCACACAGTAGAATACTATACAGCACTGAAAAACAACGACCTCATTAAATATTATACAAAATGTATGACATTATGCTGAGTTAAAGATCTCAGTCACTAAAGGACAAATACTACATAATTCCACTGTTATAAAACAGGATTAACGCAGGTCTGTGGAGAAACTAAGAAAAGAGAGGATAAATAATGTAATTGGTACTGAAACAGACGAGGGAGTGTACTGTATAAAAAGAACATATGATTAGGTATTATTGGCATGACATGAGTCCAGAATAAAAGCTGCATAGTAAAGTGGACTGTATAACAATGAAAGAATTTCCCCCCCCAAGAGATAAAAATCCAAGTTCTTTCTAAATTTTCATTAAAATCTCAATTAAAAAAAAGAAACAAAATGAATCCAGAAACAGCTTCATGTTTTTCACATTGCTTTTCATGGCTGTTCTAAGTTGAAAAGGATTCCACTTACAGTCTCAGGCAGGTCAACTTTTCCAATTCAAGTATACACCATATGATAAACACCATTTTGCAATTATCCAAAGGTGCTCCTTTGGCAAGGATGGCAAAACTTTACATAATTTGTACATATTGTTAGGAGATGCTGGTCCTCAGAAGGTGTATGGTAAAAAAAAAAAAAAAAAATAGGTGTATGGTCACCAAAGGAGAGGAAGGCCCTCAACAAGAAGTTATGATGCAGCAACTGTAAAAATGAGCTTGAAAATATCAAAGATAGTGAGGATAGAACAGGATAGGGCAGGGTTCAGATCTGTTGTTTATGGTGTCACAGTCAGCTCTGTGGCTTTCAGCCTAACACCTAGGTTATGCTTGAAGAATTGGTTTGTCTCTCACACATTGTCCTGCTAGGAGGCAGTGTTGCTACAGGAATATATTATTCCTAATTGTTCAAATATGTCCACCACACAGCGGTGGTGTACCAGATAATACGTGCACAGGGCAAGATAAGGCATCGGTCAATAGAAAGCAGTTAATTGGAAATCTCTTTATTTGGAGAGGATTTCCAATAATTTCTTTAATTACAACGTACGTTTCTGAGACCATTCCTGAACTATCCTGTTGCACTTTTCTCTATTTTGTAGTCGGAAGCACTTGCCAGCACTCCAGTATCATCTGGGTTGGGTTCACACAGGAAAGAACAAATAGACAAGATTACTTTTGAAATGTGCTGGAGAAGACAGAATATCAAGATAAATGCTGCCACTACTGTTCGTTTTTCGAGAGTTCTTAATTCTTGCGTTAAAGGGTTAATCTATGGGGAGATAAATTGTTCAGAAAGGGCTTGCCATTTGGTGTTTGGGGTAGTTCTGCAAGGAAAACCATCTCCAACAGGACCTGCTTGACACTGTGCTGTTCCTTCACTTCCTCACAGATTGTCTTCGCTACCATCACAGAAGGCGGGTGGAGGCAGCCTTGGGGCGGGGACAGGACCCTGAAGGAGCCGCTGGGACTCAGGGCGGCCTAAGGATTGCGTATCAGCCGGGCACAGAGATCCTCGCGCCTCCTTTTTGCGCCGCAGGTCCGCACCCCTGCAGCTGCGTCTTGCTCCTGGCTGGCTTGGCGCCAGCTTGCTCCTTTGCAGCCAGAGAGCGAGGCCCCAAGCGTCTGGCTTGGAGGCGCCTCTGGGTCGGACAACCGGAGAGTAGCCACTTAATTTTAATACTTGGATCTCTTTCTCTAAGATATTATCCTGTGGTTCTGATATTGGTGGTTGCTGCAATCACAAAATTTTTATTTGTCCACGGCTGGGCATGCTGATAAACATCCAGCTGTGCACGACACAAGGCTTTGGTCAGTAAAAAGGAAGGAGGCTTAAGGGACAGAACGGAGTGGAGAAAGGATGTCAGCTAAGGACTACTGGGGGACATGAAGGAGGGGCGGCACAGCGCGAAAAGGGCTGGCTGAGGCAGGGTTATGGCGGGAGTTACCGGGCAGCTGGCCTGGCCTGAAGAAAGGGGTGGGGGCGGGGCTGGAGGGTGCCTGCTGGTGATGCAGACACACTGAGAGCTTAACTAGCTCGTTTACAGGTAACCTGTCTGAGTCTGGTTGTTGGAAAAGACTATCATCCTGGCATTTGGCCTTCCTTCAACCAGCATGTCAAGAAACAAGCATGGTTGTTTCTCCCCATAGTCAGTAGGTGAAAGAATACAGAGAGGGTCCTTGTAACAAAAATACCAGGAGGTCTTGGTGTGAGATGACAGCTAATGCACTCCTCAGTCATCTGTGGTGTAGTTTAGTAGAATTATGTGCCAGAGGCCCCAGGAATAAGGACTAAAGGAGCAGACTTTGAGACACATCCTTCCCCATCCCCATAGCTTTGTCTTTTCTTTCTAATTACGATAGTGGACACAGTAGCAGATACTATCATCTATTGAGTGCTTCCTTTCAGTCCACCCAATGAGGTGGCAAAGCTAAGGCAAGCCAGAGTACAGAGCTCCAAAGCTCACACTCATGTGCATGGTATATTTGATGAGACCACATCTTTGTAAGTGGTCTTCTGGACCATCTTAACAGCCTTGTGATGTTGTTTCACTGAGGTTTAAAAGGAGCCAGGAGGGAAGAGAGCTCTTTCTAATGCAGGCTTGAGAGTTGTGCAGGTCTGCATGCTGATAGGTGGATAAATCCCAGGTTGTAGTGGACACACTCCAGCCCTATGGTGAGAAGGGCTCAAGTCTTTTTCTTACTGCACAGTAGCTTTGGGAACCCCTTCCTGACCTACACAACAAGGAGGGTCTATGCATGGGCTCACCTGGCATTTGACAGGTCAGGGCTGTCACGGACCATATGCCTGTATATAGCAGGCCAGAACTGCCCACTGGTCCCTTGCCACTCATGTGCTAGAATGGTCACTCCTCTGGCCTCTTGCCCTTGAGCCTTGCACCTTGTGACCACCATTTACTCAACAGTGGGGAATTCCTTCTTTTACAATCTCTGGCCTTGTTGACCTAATTTTGCCACTTGAAAGCAGAAACTTTCCGGAAGCCACCTCCTCCTGGAGATTGGATTAAGCCCAGTGGTGCTACTTCATAATGCAATCAGGAAGTGGCCCCAAGCTTCAGCTGCTTTGCTCATGCTGAGGTTGTACTGGCAGATCTCATTTCTCAAGGACAAGCCGCTGCTCCAGAGTTGAGGCAAGCCTGCAGCTCATCAGAGACCCAGGGTCCCACAGGGAGTCAGAGGCATCCTTCAATGGCATCCTCACAGAATTCTGTGTCTCTGTCCTCCACTCACCCTCCTCAGTTAAGACCATTGACTCTCATTTCACTTAGAACTTTCCAGACTCTTCATCAGCTTAGTTAAAGTTCTCAGCAACAATGAGCGAGCACTTCAGAGAATACTCTAAAACCAGCCATTGTCTGTCAAAATTAGCCTCTTCAGTGAACATTTTTGAACAAAAGGAAATTTGGGGAGCATAGGAGTAAGCACTCAATTACAGTATAAGCTATAATTAGGACCAAAAATTATTGATAATGAACTTGATTCTGTCCCCAGGATTGCCCAGTGTGAGTCATAAATAGATATACAGAGTTATCAAGGTAAAGAGGGCTTATGATACCAGAGAGGTTTGTCTTTACCTTGTAAGTAGAAGGGCTATTGTTGTTTTTCCCCCTCTTCAAACAAAATGTTGGTGTTTTGTAATAGGAGAGCTGCAGGTCTCAGCATTGCTTTCTGGCTTTCCACTTCCCATCTGCCCTCTTCCCATGCACCCCAGAACCAACTTCAGATGGGAGAGAGGAACCCTGGCTAGGATGAATTTTATGAGAATCTTCACATAAACATATCAGACTTCCAGGGCTAAGCATGATGTTTGGATGAGGTTGAGGAAAGATTGTGTTTCATAGTAAATGCTCCTGACAAGGCAGAAACTATAATGACCCTCATATGTCTTCAGATCCTTGTATGAGCAAAACACTCATTTTCCCAACAAATGATTATGGCTGCTTGTAATGAGGATTACATACTATCATCCATTTCCTTCTTTAACTTTGGGTTCCAGGAAGCTTAGTACTGCATTCTATGCGCACTTCTCAACCTACTCTCCTTAGGCTGGAGCTCTAGTACACTTCCCCTCTGGTTTTCTACTGATGAAGGTTCTGTCACTGTGAGCCTGCCATGCTCACTTTAGCCATTTCCACAATGTGAATTCCCACATGGGAGTCACTAGTCAGCATGGGAACAGTAAAATCAATCCTTGTATTCTAGTAAAGGTTTACTCAGCAGTTTGTCTTCCATTCAACAATTTCTACGTAGAATATTCAGTGCTGATGATTAGTTACCTTCCTTATAGTGCACGGACATTCTCATCATTCCCCTTTTAATTGTTCTGTTTCTGTCAGTCTCTTTTCCTTTCTCCTTTATAGTCCCATCATTATTTTAAAATGTACTAATCTCATATAAAATATTTTTAAATGAATAAAGTGCTTTGAGGTGATATTTATTATTTTCTGAGACAATTTGCTTTTGAGTGACTTTAGGAGTTATTTTCTGCTCAAGGTTTAAAGAGTATCTCAGGGCAGTGAATAAGAAAGGAATAAGAGATATTGAGAATTGATGTCTGAGTTATGGTGTTGGTGAGGATGACTATTCTATGGACAATCAAAGACACACAACAGATCTCTTTTGGATGAAGTGCAGTCAGAATGCTCTTTAAAAGCAAGTATCACTGGATTTTGTATTATGTACCTGGAACATATTACCAGGAGAAACCAGTCTCTATAGAAGGGAATCATGCTTGGTATAGCAAAGGCCAGCAAAAAGGAGGAAGACTCTCAAAGAGATATAGTGACATAATGGCTGAAACAATAGGCTTACACAGGGCAATGATTATGAGGATATGCAAATGCTTCCTTCTGTTTATATAGAGTTACTAGGAAATGATCCAACACACGCACCTCAACAAAGACAACAGCAGGACAGTAATCTGAAGAATTTCTCCTGAACCAAAGAAGGCTGTGACAATCCCCTGAGCCCATTACAGAGCACCTAGCTCCACACTAGCCAGACTTCTTGCTCTTGGGCATTGTCATTATGATATTAATTCAGTATAAAGTGGCACCTGGTGACTTAGCTAGACCTCTTTTTAAGAAAATTCTGTTGTGGCCCTCCTACTTTTTGTTGTTGGTCTATTTTTTATTCTTGTGTTTCATCTTCATGAACTCTCTCTTCATACCCATTGGATCTTACTCAAGAGCTTGAATTACTTGTACTTGGAGAGATTTTTATTCTCTATGAGATTAGTCATTAACTTATCTTTAGGGAATTCTAGGAAGGTAATTGTGCTGCCAACCTAAAGATATGAGACTCAAATCTAGCTGTTCCCTGGAAGAAAGATGGGCAATCTCCTTCCGTTCATTTACAGCCTCTGAAAACCTACTGGAGGGTCAGCTATAAGTCAGATCTGACTTGATAACAATGAGGGATTTTTTGCTATCTTTAAAACAAGTATTTGTCTAGCTTGTTTTTTTCTTATTTTTCATTTTTCTCCCCCCCCCCCCAGCTTATTCTCTAGTGGTAAGAAACTGAGTTGTAATCCTGAAGTCCTGTAGATCGTATCTACCAGATGTTCCATGGAAGAAGGATGGGAAATCTCCTCCTGTGTGATTAACTGCCTCTGAAAACCCACTAGGGGGTCAGCTAAGGGTTGGTTACAACTCAACAGTAAACAACAATTCTCTAGTCAAGCCTTGGTTTCGTCAGTGAAAGAGGAATATCCTATTATAGTTTCCTATTGGGCTCTGGTGAGAGAGAACACCACTTCCCTCCCTCTGTCCTCCATGGAGGGAGGATTGGTGCTGAGAGTGCTTTCAGAGTACTTTCTGAGGCAAGTTTTGTCCATTTGTGGTATGGACATAGACATGGATGCGTCTCCGCCTATAGAAGGATTGAGAGCATGACCCTGTCATCATTGTGTCTGGAAGATTGACTTGTATGAGAGGAGGTGACCTGAAAAACTGGGGAGATTCCACACACTCTTAAGGATTGGGTTTTTCATGGTTTTAGGATTGCCCTGGAGCCCAGTACCCAGCAATTGCAGGCATAGTACTGTGGATCAGACTTGTGGAGCTGATGGTAAACAAAAGGCACTGACACTGTGGTTAGGGTTACTAGAAACTTCTAGGGCTGCAGAAGTCCTAGAACAGACTTGAGGACGTGCTCAAGAGCCTTGAGGAAGACCATTCCCAGCTCGTTCTGTTTTCAAGGTTCCCATACTCAGCACTTCCTCAGCTTTGGGGACTCCCTCCTTGGAGTGATTTTGTCTCCTGTTAGAGTCTGGCTGCACTTTCACGGTTCCATCCTCCAAGAGCCTTTTCTTGCTGGCCTGCATGTGCACTTTGTAATGACACATCTGAGAAGACTTCCTGACAAAGTTGTTTCTAGCACACGTTCACTGAAATGTGCAATGGGCAACTGACGAACTGTTTGCTGTATGGTCGGACCTCAGGTTTTAGGAGGGTAGTGAGGTTTCTTCCTGGATTCTTTGGAAGAATTCAGATATGAGTTTGGAGAGTTGAGACCCCCGGGTTGAGAAAAGGACTGAAGCTTACTCTGTTCTTGGCCGGCCTCTCTGCAGAGCCAGGCACTCCTTGTTCAGGAAGGTAGCCAGTTTAATCCCTTTGTTCCA